ACACACACAAAGACACACACACAGACAGAGACACACACAGACACATACATACACATACACACATACAAACACAAACACACACAGACACAGACACACACATACACACAGACACATACATACACATACACACACAGACAGAGACACACACAGAGACACATACATACACATATGCACACACACACACAGACACATACATACACATACACACACATACACACACACAGACACACACATACACACACACACACACACACACACACACACATACACACACACATAAACACACACACACATATACAAAACTGGAAATCTGAAATGTGTACAGAAATGCTGGAAATACTCTACAACTGATATCGAGTATAGGCAGCATTTCCTGCTTAGAATCACATTCTGTTCTTTTAGTCTGACCTTTATTAGTAATTCACAGGACATGGGCTTTAATGGCTAAGCCAGTGTTTATTAGCCATCCCTAATTGCCCTCAAGAAGCTACCTTCTGAACCATCACAGTCCTTGGGGATGTACACATGTACATCCACAGTGCTGTTAGGGAGGGAGTTCCAGGATTTACACCCCAACACAGTGAAGGACCAACAAAATAGTTTCAAATCAGGCTGACGTGTGACTTGGAGGGGAACTTGTAGGTATGAAACCATGATAAGAGCCATAAAGATACATTTAAATTCCACCAAAATTCAGAATCAGTGTTTGGATAGAAAGGCCATATTTTCTTCTGTAAATAATACAATAAATCACCATTGGTCAATTTTTCCTTAACCCAGAGTTACAGGAATGGTTTTATCATTTAGAACTACAAGATCTGTTAAGCAATTAAAACCATTTTTTAAAAATATATATACTTAATAGACTGGAATATTTATCTATTCAGTGAGAAAAGCATCAAGTACTTGGGTATCTTCAAGTTCATTTTTTTATTCTTTCCACCCTGTCCCTGTAACCTACTCTAGCTTACAACAATCCGAGACTTCCCGTTTTGGCTTCACATGTCCCTTACTCTGAAACTACCCCTTAAACTCTCATCTTCTCTATACCTCTTTCCTCCTTTTAGGACATACTTCCCAATAATTCTGAAGACATCCATCCTAATCACTTCTAGGATCCGGAACGTTCCATTTTACACGATCGTACTCCTCTGAAGTTGCCTTGAGCTGGTTTACTGCCTTCATGTTCATAGAATCCCTACTGTGTGAAAGCAGGTCATTTGGCCCATCAAGGCTACACCAACCCTTTGAAGAGCATCCCACTCCCATACCCTAACCCCATATTTCCCATGGCTAACCCATCCAACCTGCATGGCCCTGGTCACTGTGGACGATTTAGCATGGCCAATCCACTTAACCTGCACAAGTTTGGAATGTGGGAGGAAACCAGAACGTCCAGAGGAAACCCACACAGTCACAGGGAGAATGTACAATCTCCACACAGACAGTTGCATGAGGGTGGAATCGAATGCAAGTCTCTGTACTCTGAGGCAGCAGTGCTAACCGCTAAGCTACTGTGCTACCCAACATGTCGATGGTGCCAAATCTTTGCAAGTTTCTGTTACTGTCCAGGCCTTTTATTTAACATTTATTTACCCATTCTCCTTTCGAAATTTCACCCTTCTGCTGGGCAGAACATTACATTTCCCCACTGCCAGATTTGCAGATGGGAGAGTAGTTTTTTTTTAATCCCAACCATCAAAGTGGGAACTTGCAGTTTGCCTATAAAATCAAACAATGTTTCATGAGTAACCTTGATCACTTCAAAGCTTTCATTAAATGAACCAAATACACCAGAATGTATCCATTAATGTCTGTGGAGTATGTTTGAGGGAAAATACTCATCCTGTCCCAGCGTATCCAGAAGCTGCATTGGGTAATCTTACTCATTCAGTGTGATCAGTTTAGTAAATCTGTTTTCTGTTGTGTAGTCATTAGAATCCACAAATTGCCCTTCATCAAACTGAACAGTCAATGTGGATTTCCACACTGATGTGAGGGGAAATGGGTAAAATTCCTTGCCCCCACCCGGCTTTCCCACAGCTCTTCCAAACTCTCCTTAACTTTAAAGTAGGATGGGCCCAGTTTGGATTGCCCACCTTTACCCAAATTGAAACCCTTCATTTGACAGACAAGGCTCATTTAAGGGTGGTGTACTACCGAGGCTCTGTTAAAGGCAGAGGGGAGGGTCCCAGGGGCAAGCAGGATGTGGTACCCCATTGAACAGCCTCCTTTTCTGCATTGGGTACCCCCTCCCTCCCTTCCATCCTCCTGTCACTCCCCGCTTCACATTCTCCCACAAGTTCTGCACCCTGGTCGCGCACTTTCCCCTTCCCTGTCCTAGCGTCGCTATCAAGGCCCATATCCAGACTCTGTATCTGACCTCCCTTCCTTGCTGTGTCGATGTCAACACCTTCCAGGGAATGGCCATCCCCCCCCCCTCATCTAGGTAAGAGGAAGAATTCCCTTCTCCAGCCATTTAGCCCAACTTTAGCCCAACTTGAAGAAGCAAGTGACTATGGGGCAGATGGGTCTGGGGTTCCCCATGACTCTTTGGGTGATGGTGCAGAAAAGGCCACCATCTGAAAAATCCCATTCCCTGCCCCACACCCAACCCCCCACCAACCTCTCGCAGCCTCTGATTGGATTACCTTCCTTCCATCCCCATGAGTAACAGGACGGTCCTCTCTTTCCCTTTCAGAATGGCGAGCCGCGTCCTGGTCTGGCCCAACGGGACCCTGACGATCGAATCGATCACAGATCGAGACGCCGGAATCTACCTGTGCATCGCCCGAAACAAGGAGGGCGACGACATGAGGTCACTGAACATCGATGTGTCCATGAAGCCAGCGCTGATCGAGCGCAAACAGTCCGTTCACAAACACGTCTCGTATGGCTCTGACCTCCAAGTCGACTGCAAGGCCTCTGGCTTCCCCAAGCCTGAGATCTCCTGGAGCTTGCCCGATGGGACAATGGTCAACAACGTGCTGCAGGAGGATGACAGCGGCAGGAGGATCCGCAGGTACATTGTGTTCGGTAACGGGACTCTCTACTACAATAAAGTGGGGTTGGCCGAGGAAGGCAATTACACGTGCTATGCTCAAAACACTCTTGGCAAGGACGAGATGAAAGTACACGTGACTGTGGTGACCATGGCACCACGTATAAAGAAACCATACAACAGATCCCTAAAGGTTACCAGTGGAGGCAATGCAATGTTTCATTGCCAGGCTGTGGGAAAGCCGCTGCCAAGGATACTATGGATGCTCCCCACAAATGAGATTATATCGTTTTCCAAGAATCGGTATCATCTGCACTCCAATGGTTCGCTGCTGATCAAAAACGCCCGTCTCTCGGATGCTGGGGAGTACATGTGCATTGCTCGCAATCCTGGGGGTGACGATACAGACCTTTTCCGTTTGGATGTGGCATCAAAGCCACCGCTAATAAACGGCTTGCCCAGGAATAAGACGGTCATCAAGGACTACGCAGTGAGGCACAGCCGGAAACAGATCGACTGCAGGGTCGAGGGAGTCCCCAAGCCCTACATCACCTGGATCATGCCGGATAACATCATGTTGAACGCTCCGTACTACGGGAGCAGGATTGTCGTCCACCAGAATGGCACTTTGGAAATCCGCAACGTCAGGGTTTCGGACAACGCCGAGTTCATCTGTGTGGCCCGGAACGACGCTGGCGAAGCCATGCTGGTGGTCAACCTGGAGGTGACCCGGAGACTACGGAGGCCTGTCTTCAGGAATCCATTCAACAAGAAGATCGTCGCAAGTGCCGAGCGGCCCACCATCCTGAACTGCTCAGCAGACGGCTATCCACCTCCAGAAATTATTTGGATCCTTCCCAATGGAACACGGTTCACCGGTTCACACAAGGCAGCCCACTACCAAATCAACAGCGACGGCACCTTTCTGATTCACGGCCCTAATGCCAAGGATGCGGGCAAATACCGGTGTGCAGCCAAAAACACAATTGGATACATCGAGAAACTGATTATCCTGGAGGTGGGTCAGAAACCCATCATTCACACCCGGCCTCTGGGATTAATACGCAGCATGAGCGGGGATACTTTATACCTTCACTGTTCTGCCAATGGTAGACCAACGCCAAAAATTGTCTGGACTGTGCCCAGTGGCTACATCCTCAACAGGCCGCAAATAAATCCTCGGTATATCCTGTTTGAAAATGGGACTTTGGTTGTTAGGGAAATGAGCATCCGTGACAGGGGCAACTATATTTGCAAAGCGTACAACAACGCAGGCGACGACTCCAGCGTAACATCAGTGATTGTTATAGCCTACCCACCTCGCATCGCCAACGGACCCCCCAAATCGGTTCAGGCCTTCGCCGGCAGAGCTGTCCAACTCAACTGCATGGCAATTGGCATCCCCAGGCCAGAGATTGTGTGGGAGCTGCCAAACCACAGGGTGCTTTCCACATTCAGCAAGGGCCAGCCGACCAGCAGTGAGCTCCTGCACCCACAGGGAACACTGGTGATCCAAAAGCTATCGGCAAAGGATTCAGGGACATACAAATGCACAGCCAAGAGCCAACTAGGCAGTGACTCCCGACTGACATATATTCAGGTCATATGAAGCGACTGCTCTTCATAAATACATCTCTATATTCTTATATTCATTTTTGAATATATATATTTCCTATATATATCTATGTATTTTTTACAGAGATTACTATTATACTTTGATGTTCACAGTTAAGTCTATGGACTGATTCTTTTCAGTCAAGAAGGAAATATTTTGTTTCCCTGAATAAAGAGATCTACGAAACAACGCCTACACATGTTTGGGTGGGAGGGGTGAAAATTTAAAGTAATGTGTTTATCAGAAAACTGTTGAGATTGAAAGAAACTCTGCTTTTACAGCTGTCCCGGTCTTACCCTCCATTGAGAGCAACATTGGTGTAAAAATCAATGATCCAGCTGATCCCATTGGATTCCAGTCAGGATGTTGGCAAAACATTGGCCCTTATTTCAAGGGGTTTGGAATATAAGAGTAAGGAAGTCTCACTGCAACAGTACAAAGTGCTGATGAGACCACATCTGGAGTACTGTGAACAGTTTTGGTCCCCTTATTTAAGGAAAGATATCACTGTAGTTGGAGGCAGTTCAGAGTAGGTTCACTGAAATGATCCCTGGTATGGAGGGATTGTCTTTTGAGCAAAGGCACAACAGGTGGCACTCCACTCACTGGAGTTTAGAAGAATGAGGGTTGATCCTAGTGAAAATAAGGGTCTTGATAGGGTAAAGTCAAGTCTGGGAGGATGTTTCCCCTCGTGGGAGAGTCTAGGACCAGAGGGCACAGTCTCAGAATAAAGGGGCGACAATTTAAGACAGAGATGAGAAGGACTTTGTTTTCTCAGAGGGTTGTGAATCTTTGGAACTCCTTGCCACAGAGAGCTGTGGGGTCAGAGTCCTTGTGTATATTTAAGGCTGAGATAGATGGATTCTTGATCAGTAGGGGCATCAAGGGAGAAAGGGAAAAGGCAGAAAAGTGGACATGAGGAATGTCAGATCAGCCAATGACCCTTTTGAATCAAAGAGCAGGCTCGAAGGCCAAATGGCCTGCTCCTGTTCCTATTTCTTATGATCTTTGGTGAGTTATATTAAAATTTCTCCCTTGACCTGAAACTGCATAGCGAATCCCTCCTCAGATCATTAAATGAAACAACACCTTTTCAAAGTTAAGTAAAGTTGGTTATCAGTGAGTGCATTAATTTCACAACACATTTATTACTCCATCTGAAAAATACACAGGCTTCCAAGTTTTAGAGACTGGTGCTATCATATGGACTGAAGTATTTCATACAATACTTTATTCTGTGCTGCTTTGACATTTGACACTGAATTCTTGACCTGCAGAACATAGTTGTATCCTGTTGGTTTAATCAATAGGGCAGAGTTCAACATCAATGACATATTAACACTCTTTTCATATCTCACACAGGAAAAAAGAATTCTCTCTATGACCTGCTGTCACAGTATAGTTAATTTGCTTTTTCCCATCATTTATCACATAACATTATAAATCAAAGATTACCAAAGGAGAGGTGTAATATAATGATCTTTTTTAATTTTCAAAAAAGGGTAATAAAAGTTTTTGTAAAGAAAATACATTTAGTATATTGTCTAGTGTTGTGATTATAGGACACAGTCTGCGTTGATGTCGAAATTATGTTACAGGTGCCTATTCTCTCCCTTTCTGGATTCTCTCCGACATGCACAATCTCAAAATGCTTCTACAAAGTGGATCCTTCAGTAGACAAATTTGCCATCGAGTTACTGATATCACAAATGATTTTGTTTTTAATGTTGAGGTAGCTTCCAGCTGCCTATGCAAGGCACATTTGATAAAAGAGCCTGTTGTGTCAGATCACACCACAGTGCGATAAATTACAGCAAACTATAAAATATATCGTCGTCTTGCTGGTTTCCAAATTGACTGCCGCTCAAAATGGTGGTGGATTCATGTTTGGCTGTTGAAAAGAACAATATCTAAAATGATTAATGGATGCCCTGTCCCACACGGTGTTTCTGAATATCGAAATACTACACAAACAAAAGCTGATGACATAGGGATTGCCAGATAGAAACAAGTATACCCCATTGATGCCAATGAATCAGATGACTATTTCCCTTGCATTTTTCTGCCATTTTGACACACAGTGGCGGAACGAAGTAAAGTCGACACTGCACCATAGGGCTGCTCTCTCATAGGGAGAGACGAATGGTTGTGATTCAACCTGACGGTCACCACACCTCAGGTCAGCAGCAAAGTTATGAAGATGGGACCCTAATGTTCACATCAGCAAGTACGGGAATTGAACCCGCACTGTTGGCATCACTCTGCATCGCAAAGTAGGATAAAGGCTGGAAGTAATCTGAATTCATGAATGGAATTTGGAGATGATGAGGAAAATGAGGAAGTCTTCTGTCGCATTTTGTTCATTTTAATGTGCACTTGGTTTCTACTGGATTTAGAATTTCCATTGCAGCGAGTAACTCACCTCCTAACCCCCGAAAGCCTGTCCACCATCTACAAGGCACAAGTTCAGGAGTGTGATGGAATACTCCCCACTTGCTTGGATGAGTGCAGTCCCAACAACACCCAAGAAGCTTGACACTATCCAAACCAAAGCAGCCCGCTTGATTGGCACCACATCCACAAACATCCACTCCCTCCACCACCAACACTCAGTAGCAGCAGTGTTTACCATCTGCAGATGCACTGCAGAAATTCACCGAGACATTTTAGGCAACAGCTTCCCAATCCATGACTACTTGCACCTCAAAGGGCAAGAGTAGCAGTTACAGGGGAACATCATCATCATCTGCAAGTTCCCATCCAAACCATTTACTATCTTGGTTTGGAAATATGTCACCCATTCCTTCAATGTCTTTGGGTCAAAATCCTGGAATTTCCTCCTGGACAGTTTTGTGGGTGTACCCACAAGAAATGGACTGCAGTGGTTCAAGAAGGTAACTCATCAACACATTCTCAAGAGAAACTAGGGGTAGTCAATAAATGACAGCCCGGCCCCTGACGTCACACCATGAATTTTTAGAAAATGGACTGCCTGCATACGTATTTGAAATGGGTTGAAAATACACAGTTCAACCTTGATCCATAACAAGAGTGGGATCTGTTCATCCCTGGGATTGAATTTTTGTTTTTTTGTCTTTATTCATTCACAGGATGAAGGTGTTGCTGGTTTGGCAGCATTTATTCCCCATCCCTAATTGTCCAGAGGGCAGTTATGTATCAACCACATTGCTGTGGGTCTAGAGTCACATTAGGCCAGACCAGGTAACAATGGCAGTTTCCTTCCCTAAAGGACATTAGTGAGCCAGATGGGTTTTTCCAACAATCGGCAATGGATTCACGGTCATCATTAGACTCTTAATTCCAGACATTTATTGAGTTCAAATTTCACCATCTGCCATGGCAGGATTTGAACCCAAATCCTCAGAACATCACCTGGGTCTCTGGATTAACAGTCCAGCAATAATACTACTGGGCCATCGCCTCCCCTACAATGTTACTACAGCACTAAGTCATAGATTGTTACTGCACAGAAGACCATTTGGTCCATTGAATCAAAGCTGGCACTTTGAAAGAGCAGAGGCTTCATCCCAAAACCCCACTTTTCATCCATAACCTCCCAACATTTTTTGATTTCAGGTACCTGTCCAATTCCCTTTAAAATTATTTATGAAATGATGGGCAGGGACTGATTGAGCAGAATGGCCTGTTTCTCCACAAGGTATATCATGTAGGTACAAGTACCTTCCACCACATTTTCAGAAAGAGCATTCCATATCTCAACAACTCCCTGAGAGAAAATAAATTTTCGCTATCTCGTCACGTTTTAGCCAATGATTTTGTGTCTATGACATTCAGTTATTTATAGTCACCGATTCTCACCAACTTTGAGCTGCACAGGCATTGACTCTCACCGGCTACAGAGTGAGAAATCAAAACTTCTTAATTCAAGAGAATTTGAAAAATGAAGCAAACGAAACAAAAAAAAAATGATACAACACAGGAACAGGCCCTTTGGCTCTCCAAGCCTGCGCTGCCACATTTTACCCTTCCATACTAAAACTGCCTTCACTTACAGGATCTGTATCCCTCTATTCCCTTCCTATTCATGTATTCATCCACAGTGCAGAGATAATCAGTTGCACAGACCATTTTATCAAGAGCGTGGAGGCATATCAATGAAAAAAATCTTACGCCTTTATTAGGACGAGCTCTTAGAGGAGGTTCAGTCAAACCGTCCAAACTATTTTGAATATAATAAAAATTAGGCACAATAATTCTGTTGGGGGTTTTTAACCATACTTTGTTGTGTACGATGGACCTTGCTTGTATTCTGTATAATGGACATTCAATACTTTTGCTGTTCATTTACTGTTTAATCACTGCTGATCAAATTGCTTCCGTATTCCAATTCATTGCAATCACTTTGTTTCTGATTTTAGATTGCTGTAATGTGAGCCGTCGCTGTGTGCTGTAAAATAAGGCATGTTCATAATTTGTTAGTGAACCTATAGAATGGAAATCACTCTGGGATTTATCTAAGCATTTACAGAACTGCAAAGCATTGTGGCAATCTGTGTGGGTAGTTCCATAGAATTAGTGGTAACACACAAACTCATGGATTGACAGAGCATGGAAAAAGGACATTTTGTCCATCATACACATGCCAGATTTTTGAAAGAGCTTTCTTAGTAGTCCCACCCACACCCCACCCCCCTCATCTTTGCTGTCTCGCTCTACATATATTTTTCATACAAATTTCAACCTAATTCCCTTTTGAAAGTTTTTAAGGAATCTAATTCCAGCATTCCTAAATGCAGTGCCTCTCAGGTCTTAACAAATTGCTACATAATTTTTTTGCCTCTCATGTTGCCTCTGATTCCTCCTGGTTTTGAACACCTATTGTCAAATCTATCCTTATCTTCTTCTGCTCGAAGGAGAACGATCCCGCCTTCTCTTACCTCTACATATAATCAATGTACTACATCGTTAGTACCATTCTAGTAAATCTCCTTTTTATCCTCTCCCAGGCCTTAACATCTTCTTAAATGTGATGCCCAGAATTAGCACACTATTCTAGTTCTGCTGTCTTTACTAATTTATAAAAGTTTAGCTTTGTGCTTTTCTCTTGTACTTGTCTGTGCTTCTTATCCTATGTTTATCACAGAACTACAGGAATGTTATGGTGTAGAAGGAGGCCATTTGGCCCATCATGTCTGCACCAGCTCTTCAAATAAGTATCATTTTCCAGTGCCAATCTCCTGCTTTGTCCCCAGATCCTTGCACATTATTTCTCTCCAAATAATCATCCAGTACCGTCTTGAATGCTTCAACTGAGGCCACCTCCACTGCAATTCCAGGCAGTAAATTCTAAACCCTAACTACTTGCTGAGTGAAGTATAAAGCCAAAGATTGTAGATTATTTTTGAAGCTGTTTTGAACCATCTTGCTACCTTCGAAGATGTCCTAAAGATATTTAAAACCATGAGTTTGACCTAAAATATCATATGCA